GTAGTCAGCATCGTCAGGGAGTTTTGCCATTCGCAGCACCACACAACAACTCGTCAAAGAGACAAGTAAAGCCGATCCTTTGACCAAACGTGTGCTAAACTGTTATGGTATCTTACCTTCTGCCCTGGCCTATTCATATTTTCTTCAACATTCAACCTAACCAAAGCAAGCAGTACCACAACATTTGTGGGTTGGCTCACAAAAGACTAGGACATAAGAAGTCATAGACTTGGTATAAGAGATCGAAACAGGATAGACTCGGCGGCGATGCGAGCTAGTAGGCTGACAGTAGGTTCTATAAGAGACGTGGTCCATGTGGCAAAGGCGTGACCATGAGGTTTACTCAGAGGCTTTAGCCTCGAATTAGTTACCAAGACACAGGGGAGGGCGAATAACACCTCAAGTGGCACAGATGGGGTGGCAGGGGTCGAGTGAAATATGTGAACCAGGGAGAGGGCAGACGGATCATACGGGGCAAGAGAGAGACTCTGATAAGACCTAAGGCAGGAGGACTACGTAACAATAGGGCAGACCCTGATCAATATTCCCAGCCCGAGGGTCAAGGGGGGTGTGAACGCCAGCGTAGAGTGTGGAAGGTTGTCATGACAGCCGCTCAAAAGGGCATAACGTACCACATTTAAATAAAGCACGGAAAAGAATTGTGATATTGAAGGCGTGATAGGAGGATATAGGAAATGTGAATAGGTTAGGACAGAAGAGGAGATACCACAACTTTTTAATACACGTTTGGTTAAAGAATCGGCTTCACTTGTCTCTGTGACGAGTTGTTGTGTGGTGGTAAGACTGGCGAAACGTCCGGGAATGTACCACGTCCACGGTCTTACTTTGGAAATGATTATGCATACAATGTACTTCGGACTAAGTCTTCCTACCAATATAAAAAAGTTGCGAAAACAAGATCGAACAGCTTCTTTAAAGTCTTCTGCCCCAAAAATTTGCACCCACTCTCGTCAAAGAGCAAAATACTAACTTTCCTGTTTTGATTGCGTTGAATCGAGCTGATTATATCGGCAGAAAAGTTTTCCTCTCGAGGCAATCTCCAAAAAAGTGGCGACCCTATCCTTTGTACCAAATTGCCCCTGGAGCCAGTTTCCTTACATTCTTAGACGTGAGTGAATTCCAGGATGTTTCAAGACTCTCAATTTTATGAGCTACATTCTGACTTTATACCGGTTTACTGCGGTGCTACTAACAAATTGAAATGAAGAATGAAGAAACACCAAAAAAACAATGATTCCGGCCATATGTAAACCTGCAAATTAGCGCCATGGCTATACGGAAATTGTGGTATTTCTGTCTTTTTGCTGCTTTTACGTCCCTGCTAATCGGAATCTGGCCAAAAATCTGTATTACTTTGGCTCTTAATAAGAATATGCGCCCGCCCACCCTCCCTGAAGCAACGAAAAAACGATCACTTGCCGAAATGCCTAATCCAGAACTTTGTTATTGATCAAGCTCTTAATCAGTGCTATGTAGGCGGATCTGTGCATAAACTAACTCGGTTAGATTGCTGCAAAATGCTCAAAATAATAATTAATTATTCATGTTTGCAAATTTTTTAAAAATTAGGAAAATTTCCATTTCACATACACTTGAAAAGTGTAATTACTTTCATTTAAATAGTACAGTATACATCAATTTAGAGAATACCCACATTTATGCTTATTGCACATTTGAGATGTATGAGAAAAACACTCATTTTAAAGTGAGTTAGGACTAAAATTATTCGATCTTACGGTCAGTTAGGACTTCTTTCTTTCCGTTATGATTCATTATAAGCTTTTCGATCATTTTCATGCTATTTAGAAACAATTTTATTAGCTAGCGAAAAAAACGACTCCGATGGCAGATTCACAGAATAATTCTAGTTTTGTTTTGTTTTGCGCGGGTATAATGAGAGATTCTCATTTTGCCTCTCGATGGCATACTACTTGCAATATTACTTATCGCCTATTGTAAGAGTTATTTAAGTATTAGCAAGATGATTATGAGATTTTGCCTTTAGTTGAATAGGTCTTGAGCTCATCCTTCTTGTAAGATACATAAATCTCATGTATCTAGTTTTACATCATTTGAAAGTTTACTTTTCATTTATTGAAAAAGTGCATCGGTATAAATAAATCTATCAAATACATATATTTTTTCAAATATAAATTAGTGATACATTGGAACGTCTGTCCTTTAAAAGCATGTAGTAATTATGAGATTCTTTGTTTCTACGGGGGGTTAGTAATTACTCCTTTCCCTCTCGCTCGTTTGCATACTACTTAAAAGATTAATTAGTAAATGTCTAAAAATTGCTGCTTACACCAATTTTTAGAATACCCATGTGATTATTTATCGAGTATTAGTGACGCACCAGAAAAGTTAGCCATGGCAAGTGATTTAAGTTTCGTATGGTGCATTGTTTGTCTTGGCTTGTTTGCATTACGGACCATCCACCAGATTTTCGACATTTGTCCACGTACCGGTTTGCTTATCATGACCATTTTGGGATTTTACACAGGTCATGTATACCACGTTTTGTATATTTATTAAAACGCGTCAATGCTTCTGACCTCCTTGATGCATACGTCAATTTGCGAGCTGTTTTGCGTGTACTGCCTGGCACACATCCCCCCGCAAAAGCAGACGCGACTGATTGTTTTCTCGGTCTGCAGAGAATACAAATGACCATTCAATCTGCATCTGGTCGCACGGCCAAGTGGGTGGCATGAACGCATCAACAGCACCTGGCAGATTCTGAGGAAATAGTATTTTTGCGGGCCCACGAGCTTTGAGACTGATTCGTCTCTTCTTCCACACGCCCAAGTTCACACAAATCCTTTCTCTCTCTCAAACACACACGCACACACATACAAACATACATTTACAAATAGACCTCTTCTTTTTTCGGCTTACTCTTCGGCTATTTCCCAATAGACACACACACGCACATGCAAACATACACAATCATGCAGGCGGAAACAACTGTTCCCTCTCCCGGCAGCCTCTAAAAGTCCGGATATGCATTAAGTCTATTTGGATGCTGTCACTGTCCAGCCCACGAGGTTGTGTATCTCGCCTTGGCGGCTACTCAAGTTGGCGCCAAACTACAGTCTTCTTGAATCCTCAGCCTACACACACATTCACAACAGCATTCATACCCACAACAATTTTTAAATTCATGCCAACACCCACGCCCACACTAACATTCACCACCGGCATACACGACCACACTCACTCTTAAACCCATATCTGCACACGCACATACCAATATCCACACTTACACCTACATTCACGATGACACAAACACTCACATTTATACTAAAAAACATACACACACATTCACAGTCCAATTCACACCACAAGTCCACTCACAACAACGCCACACTCATATTCACATTCACATTAAGATTTACACTTACATTTAAAGTAACATTCTTACCCATGCCCACATTCACATCCCAACGACACCCAAACGTACACTCACACTCACACAAATATTCACATTCACAATAAGGCCCACATTCACGCTCCACCGGCACTTACATCTACACCCAAACTTACACTCCCTCTCACAATCACACACTCACACAGACGTAAATTCACAAGAATATGCACACACACACACACACTCACCGCCAATGCAACCAGCGTCGCAAGTCTCAATTGCTGTGACCCGAGACTCGACTCTTTCCGGGGGCAGGAAGGAAGGGATCTTGGACTGGAGTCTGCCAGCGAGGCAGCCAGGATGACTCTCAGACAATGCGTAGTCCGCGTCACGTGCCGTCTGGTGGTGCGGAAACAGTCCCATACAGTCGCCAGATTTGGTCCTTTTCCGCCTTTCCGCCTTTTCGTATTTTCGCCATTTTTGCAGCAGCCTCTGGCACCTGTTAAAACTACCTTTCTGCCTACTTTGGCCTTTCGATTGTCGGATTATCTAAAGTAAACACAGAAATAATATCGATGTCAATCTCCCTCCGTCCCTACGCCCTCTCCGGAACCCAGTTGCCAAGATGCAGACTGGCCTTGTAAGCCTGGCCACAGTTTGGCCTCTGAAGGTGAGTATGCGGCTTCAGCACTTCACCGCGAGACTTGAACTCAAGACCTCTGTGTTGAGGTTGTGTCTTGACAGAAGCTTTGTTCACAAAACCGAGTTTCTACTCAATCCGGTCTACTTTATTGTCGTTGTGCTAACAATCGTCTGCAACCGAGACTACCATTCGTATTGGCACTGTTTTGACTGATCACGGAATCTCGTCTGCTAAGGACGGACTATTGAAATCTGCCGATTATTGCAACTATCTGGGTAAGTTCTACCCATGCTGGATGAATAGACATAATGAAAAACTTGCCAACTCTACTGGCTCGAATATTTGATCCTTTCAGCCTCATTCGTGCCAGTTCCATACCATACTTAACCTCTTCAACCCCATCACACGCAAAACTATCTTAGATTA